TGTGTATATTAGTATATTCAATGCTATTTATGCAAAATTTATAGTTTCTCATAAGGGTTTACGCTTTCATCTAAATATTGTGTAGATTGATCACTGGTTGACCTATGAATTTAACCCACCTCTCTAGTAGGCAATAAGATTGATTTCAAAAAATAAACAACATTTATTTTACATAAATTTATCTAATAATCATTAAATTATTTCATTTTTTTCATCAATTATGCATTAACTCGCTTTGACCAGTATCAGTAATGTTAGAACAATGTTTGTGATGCAGCATCTTTAAAATGTTTAATAGAATACCTATGCTAATTAAATCACTAGATTACCTTGGATGCATTTTGTAGAAAACATGAAGTTCAAATGTATAATATTATAATAAGTGCGGAACTATGGCGTCGTGAATTATTTCGTTTTATTCATTGTGTAAATACAGCTATAATACTAGTAAAGAAATTTTCTGGTTCAATACTGTTTGGTTTATACTGGTCAGAATTTTCAAGGATCTTAACTGAATATAACTGAATTGTTTAAGCAATGTAAAATAAACAATCGATATGTTTTATGCCCTGTTTTATGACATTATTATGGTTTATGATTATTTAATATTAATGAAAATAATTAATAAATGTATAAATGTGTGCCACGATAAATAAATAGTTATAAGTATATAACTAGCCTGTATTTTTGTTATATTTGACAATCATAATATCGACCAACCAAAGTATTATGTTTGTTAAACTTTAAAATTTAAAACAGCGATGATTATTATACCGAGTGATTCAACAAGTATGCTCACAACCAATATTTTTTTTTAATAATGAATTTATTCAAATTCTGTTATTTGTAATTGAAGGGTTACGGGGAAAAACTATCATAGTCAAAAGAAAGAAAAAATCAAATAATTATAGTACCTTTTGGTTAGTTTCATAACGAATCGACACGTGAATCGAGTTATGGAAAAAAATCACGGTCAATCATATAACACAGGTTTAAATATTACCATAACGAAAAAAAAGGCCAGAGTCCCACTTTAAAACTGCAATACTGAACATTTTAGGAATATTGACTATTATCGTTTTTCCCCTTAAACCTTCAATTGTTAAGTATATTAAAGACCATCCATATTTTCAATTATTTAGATTAACGTATTTTATACAATAATTTTAATAAATGTCCTGGCGATAGAAATTATTTTTTTTAAATAAGAAACAAACTTATTCTCTATAAGTAAATAATTATTTAGCAGAAGATTTTTTTTGAAAATGTTAATCATTAACAGTTAATGGATCTAAATCAAAATTCGAAGTAGTAGTTTCAAAGTTATTAAATGTACAATTAATTAGTATAAATTATATTTTGTCTATGTAGTTCCTATGTTAGGTTATGTACAAAACATGAAATTTCAATAATGCGATATTCTTAAAGATACCTATAATATTATTTAGGTATATTATATTGTTATCTTTTTAATGCAGGAAAAAACTGTTACATTTGACAATATTGAATAAGATACAACTATATTTAAAGAAAAATATTTTTTTTTCAAATAATATATATATAGGTAGTATAAATATTAAAGGCATTAAAATAAAATAATTAATAATTGAATAATTTAAAATTTAAAATGTTATTACTTCATACTTGGATACAATATGACGTTCGTCTTATATTCAGTGGTCGAAATGGCTCAAGATAAGTGGGGGATGCCTTACAACTTAGATTTTCTGATATCATTAAGACATCCTTCTATTCTTCATTTATCAAAAAAGTAGAGGAATACCATCCCTCCGTATCCCCTCCCCACTTCGAGCTCTGCTTATATTTACAAAATTATAACAATAAATATAATCATTGATTATAGGTATATTGTACTATATACTATATAAATATGTATGTATATATATAGTCATATGGTATAATTAAAATAATTCTAAATATTGCTGTTTAATGAGAATTATTTTATGTTCATTCGTATTCTAAAAAAATATATATTTTTTTGAATATATTTATGAAATAAAAGAAGACCTATATAACCTCGTATTGTAATGCCTAATTATATTTCCGACATTTGTTTTTTGGTAAATTTATTTGCAATATAAATAATGTAAGTAGGTATCTGGTATATTTAGATTATAATTTATGAATAACAAGTTATTTCACAAAAAATTAAATATACCAATTATAAATATTAAATAACATCAGTTTACTTTTGTTTAGTAAAAATGTGGATAGGTACGATATAGGTATTGGCACCATTATGATAATAGATATACAATTGTATATATATATATATATATATATTGTACTAATATGCATTGTACCACGCTTAGTAAGTTTATTGTTTTGGACTTTATACATACAATACTTATAAAATATACAAAACAAGCCATTTAATTGGCTGTGTAAATATTTAATTTATCTTTTTAATATTTGTTGATATACTTGTAATATTATATAATATGTATATAAATTATTTATAAAGATAATCCTTGGAAAATTCAAATGGATTTTTAATGAGCAACAATATATGTACATAAGTATAACGTAATATAAAAAAATATACATATTCATATTTAAATGTTTGGTTAAACCCAATCGACGTATATAAACATCACATTTACTTGTTATTAAAACTCAAAATAGTGACATAGGTACAGGTGAAATTGAATCTAAATACTTTAAACTAAAATTTTACTGACATCAGAGTTATTATACATATTATTTACTAGTAGTTATAGATGCTTTTATTCAATCATTAATGAAATAAATTATTATTGCTTATTATGATAACATTTCTTAAATTTTCAGTAACTTTAGTTAAGCACTACAATTAATAAGTTATGTTTCTGTATTAGGAAAACTGAATTATAGCTTATAATATAATATAATGTACATAAATATGTTAGGTATATTCATTTTTTTTTATAGAAATTATGAAAAATCAGCTCAGAATCTAAAACAAGTTTTATATTGTTGTCAATGAAGCTATAACAACTGTTGGTAGACCCAAAAATAAAAATTAACTTAAAAAAAAAAATGCATGTTTTATTTTTCTTTTATCAAGTATTAAACAAATTAATTTATGTAATTTTATTTATACAAATGCGCATAATTGATTGCACATGAATATGGGTAATTCCTAATTATTTTAATCGTGATATTGATAGTAAATAGTACTTTATTTCACTTATCTCTAACTTTTAAAACCACCATTAGTTTAATTCGATAAATTATGCGTGTGCAAAAATTTATAATAATATTGTGTTTGATATTATTAAATCACATTTTATTAGCATGGCTATTATGGTTATGAGTGAAACTAGTATTAAAACTTATCTGGACTTGTAAATATAATGTTATAAATTAAACAGTTGCAACTTGCAAACACTAAACGGCGTGCAGTTTCTTGGAAATCAGTTCAATTTAAATAAATGTTTTTCTAGAAAAAACAATCTATATTATCTTAAATAATTTAATAAATTTTGAATCTGTTGATATGAATGACAATGAATCAGTTGTTGAGATTTTTTTAGTACAAATTTTAACTTTCCGGTTTAATGGTTACAAACCTTAAATGAACGATTCAAATTCGTTTCTCTAATTGATGAATAAAATAAATGTAAAATTGTATATTTTACACTAATTATTTTTACTGCAGTACCGCATGCGTACCTGCTTACATGCATTTTAAATAATAATAAACAATTTGTTTTACATATTATACAAAAATATTATAGAAAGTAATTATGATATTCAGTAATTTTATTGGTAAAATAAAATACTTCCATATTGTTTTAAATTTTTTAATTAGTCTCAATATATTTGTTATATTATATCCATATACCACATTATTTCAGTAGAGTATTAGACAATGAACGGAATTTAAATATATTTGGCGAGGTGTCGGCATGTGCTCGTACCTACCTATATAATTAAGACGCGAGTAGCTTATTCGTTCGTGGTTTTGTTCAAATATTTCACCTGCATTGTGCAAATTATTACCAAACACTGAATGTAAGATTTTTTTGCACTTGGGTCTTACAAGTTACATAATGAAATAACAAATGCAAACAATTTTTAGATGAGTTCTACGACCTATCTATTATACTTGCCTATATGAAATCAATGTGTGTCTTCATAATGTATATTTAAAGTGCTAAGGTTATTCGAATAAACTGTAATTATTAGTTATTAGCAAAAACTTAAGGTTCTTTTAAATTAAACATAACAATTTTAACATTAAGCTTTAAATATCTTCATACCTACCACTCAAAAACTCGTTTCGAGACGATATATTATTCTTATTACTTGTGGGTTACTTATTCAAAACTATTTGTGACCCAAAATTCAACATGCAAATGCTGAGAAACGCTTGTTAACTTGTGTTTACATATTTGTCATAACTGTAATGTTCTTCCCTATTTGTGGGTATAATAATTTATGGTGCTATATTAATAAAATTATATTTGTGATTCATGAATAAAAGATACAATCATTATTATAATGTTTTGTTGCGCTTATTTAACGGTTTATTGACACGTTTGAGTTTACCAACATCGAATAGGTATAATGGTTTTGACTCATTGTAAGTCATTATTTGTAATATGATTAAATGAGATCATGCGTCCATGCCCTACAAGCACAAATTAAACGTTTATTATTTCAGAAGAATTATGTTATTGAAGCTAATTGGTATAATTGGTATAATTATTAACTATACGAAATTGCTGCTATAGGTTACCGTTTTGTATCTAATTGTCTTAATGAAAGAACCGGATAAAAAATCTAAATTTGACTCATTTTATAATTATTGGTCCGTCATGTCGACTTTTGTACCTACTGCGAGTTTTAAATTGTTTTTATATTTAATACGATTTTACACGAAAAACACAAATTTCAATACCCACTTAACTATACATTTGTATTCAAACTAATTATTTATCAATAAGTAATAAGAATAACCCATTAATTTATGATTTGCTTCAAATGTTATTTAGAACTGTCGGAAGACAAATCTTTGGCGATTGGACAAAACGCGGAAGACGGGACCGCGATCGCTGTTGAAGACGACCAGACAACGTTTGAAGTTAAATATCTAGGCAACACTCCCGTGGATTCTACGGCTGGCGCCATCGCCGAAGCTGTTAAAACCATTTTGGTTATGGTTAGTAAATTAATTTTCGTTCGGTATACTTAATAAATGTTATTCACATAGATCTTTTTGTCTGGCACTTATGTATTTATGTATAATTAATGCACTGTTGAACTTGATTTGAGGGCAGTGCAGTCTGCTGCAGTATATATAGGTACTGCCCGTGCATAACACTTGGAGTTATGTTTGGGATAGCTGGGAATCAAATTATAATAATAATATTAATTTAACATATTTTTACGATTTCATTGGCGATCAAAGTACAAAGGCGACTGGTGGGTGGTGACTGATAAGTGATGACTATATATAGTATATTATACTATAAAGTTTAAAGCATTGGTAAACTATACTGACGTACATAATCTTGCACAAAATCAGATCGTTATACCCATATCAATAAATTCAGTTTTCAGGACCTGTGGCCTGTTGTTGCAATTGGTTAGGTTATAGCAGTGATGATAAAATTCTTATCAGTTTTAAAAGTTTCATGAACTATAAATAATAATATTATATTATGTGACAGTAAAATATTTTATTTGTTAGTCGTCCCGTGGGGGGATCAGTACCTCTAACACCACCACAATGTGTGCTTGTGAATATAAGTTTATACTTAATACGTAGGTAGTTCTGACGTTATTGTTTTTTGCTTTTTTTTTTGTTTTAAACGTACAACACTCGGTGGACTTAATACAGCTGAACAAACATATGCCTACATAAGTATGCGAAAAATGTGTTACAATATATACATGCATTAAACAAAATATGGTTATGAAAACCACGATATGTTGTAAATCGGTGAAGTTAATTTTTTACGATATTGAGTAATAATTATTCAATATTTTTATGCCAAAGTTTTTAGAGTAACATTGGTAAATTGGTAACAGTCTACTACTCTATCTTCGTGGTTTTTCGTTTTGTTATATTGTTAACCATAGATAAACAAATAAACTATAACCATTATTCCATTCATGTTTTATTTTTAATTGTATTTTAATTTACCTATTAATGTTAATTTTATTTTTGGTTGGGTTCATTATTATAATATTTAATCATTATAGTTTCACTAAATTGGTAGTTTGAATTTACTATCAGTTTTGATTTTCAGCTAATATTCTATAATCTATGGGCGAATCAAAAAAATATTAACTGACATTGACATTGAATCATAGAGTAGTAACTACTCTATGCATTGAATAATATGACAAAATAAATGTGGCATTAATTTTTTCTTTCTATACAGCGATGGATACTATGTAGATAGATACTATATATATTATACTGTCAATCAATTGCTCTAAGCACATTTCAAATACGTTGTTTTATCATAGAATTTGATAAGCATTTAATATATTATGCAGTATAAATATTTAAATTAAAGACATAGATATTTTCATTACATTATAAAAAAAATCATTGTATGGAAAAGATTTGAGTTTACAATAAAAATAATGAGTTTGTCAAAGTAAAAACATTGGTATCGTTCTGATATTGATAGTTATTTTTTTTTGTAGTTTTGGTATTAAAGGAAAATATAAAATTACAGTTGATGTAACCTGTTATAAAACTAGTCAAGAGAAAATATCAATCAGTGTATAATATTGGTCACTATCTTCAGTTTATTTTATAAAATAAATAATAGGTATATTGTCGTCTGTACTCTGTCACATACTCATATTATCGTACAATACTATAACTATTAATTAATAATAGAAAAATACATGTAATAATAATTTAATCAATATTTCTTGTTTAAAATACTAATATTGGTGTCAAATAAACATGATAAAATTTAATTAATATTTTATTTAATCATATTGTTTGTAATGTAAATATATTGTTCAAAACATGAATAATGTTGTATAATATGGATAATGAAAAATTAGAAATCATATACTTATCGATTGTACAACATTTTCCGAACTTATTTAAATATTTAATGACCCGATGTAGGTACTCAGTATGATAATTATTATTAAACAAGTTTTAAATGCGTATAAGTGAATTTTTCAATCCTAGATTTATACCTTACTATACCTAGTATATATTGTATAATGACATGATCAGTTTTCATACCTAATAATATACAACTGAATAAATATGTTGAAGTTGTATTGAGAAAATAAAATGTCATATTATGTATTAGTATTGAAGTGAAATCAAAGTGTATATAAAATTATGAATGTTTTATTCTTTAGATTTTATACTCAAATGCCTAGTAGGTATTTCGTGTTTCCTATACATTTAATATAGATTAAGATTTACGAGCATTAATTATAATAAGATAGTACTGCCTCAGAAGTATTCGAAGCCTCCAAGATAAAACATTAATTTGCATGTTTCACTATGTACCTACCATGTCCTACCTATTTCATTTGTCGTGTACTTATGTATGAGTTAAATGTTAATACATTTTACTAAACTTTGTATTTAGGTTTGAGAATATTTGGAAACTTTGGGTGTCTTATACTTGGCCTATTATATTTTACATAATATTAATATGATCTTTCAGAATATTTTTTTTGCTGTGTAGGATATAAAGTGGAGCGGTTGATTGGAACTTTCCCGTTACGAGTTAAAATTTAAGGCACTTAGACTTAAATCTGACTTTAACTAAGTAGTTTCACTTAACTATAAATATTCTATTGTTATTATTTTATATTTATTCATAGTATTAAATATTTTTGTTCGAGTTATCATAGAACATTCGACTCGATGTTTACGCATTAAATTAAACCAAGTGTATCGACGTATAGTTTAAAATATATTGTGTGAACACAAAAAGCAAATTTTGTCCAATGTCAGTCATATTGCATTACATCAAACATCGAACTCCGTTTCAAATATTTGTCCAACATTTTAGCCAAAGCAAGCATGCACGGAGCACGGCTCGAATATATTATCTGTAGGTAATAAATGTCGTAAGAGACCAGCATGATTATTGATTAGCATCGGTGCGCAACGATTATGGCGAGCGCTTATAGAAGTCGAATCAGAAAATGTTTTGTCGGTTGTGAAAATTAAATCTGCAGTCTATCGAATTAGTGTTACGGACTGGCCTATGTAAATATATACTATTTTTCCGTTAATGCACGTTGTGGACGAAGTATTTTCTTTGAATAATCGGATAAGAAACGCATATCGAACATAATGCAATTTACTATTTAGGATAATCTTTTTGTCAATTATCATTGCAATCGGAGCGAAACTATACTTTCGATCTCTTATAATTTATCTGTGCATACCTACCTAGTACCTATATAGTACATAATATGTATATCTTATACCTAATTTTATACATGCACAAAATTATTCACAACCCATCATACAACGGCCCCAACCATAAAGTTTGTATAGATGTTGTACCTACATGTTCGTACTTAAGTTCACGATTTGAACGTTAAATAATAAAATAGTACCTAAATTATAATTAGCTCTTTTGGTGTGGTCTTATCGGACTCATCCTGTAGCGTTAAGTCATCATAAAGGTTTTTTCGTTGGTTTTAGACTAGCTAGTAGGTATAGTTAAATTCATCATAATATTTTGTCGTGTTTGACTTTGTCAAAAGCAGATGGAATCTGACATCCAAATGCAAAACTCTTGACTATTGAGGTCGGTAGGTACGTTTTGCTATTCAAACCTACATCAGTTTATTTGTTATATAATTTATAGCTGACAGTTGAGTCAATCGTTCTTAGCCCTGCATTTCTGGATTAAAGTAAGGTAGGTATTTCAATGGCTAAGCAATGGAAGAGACTTTTTTTTTTATTATAAATAAAAATATTTATATATTTATATAGTCAACATAGTTTGTAATGTAAATACCTGAAATTAATCATTTCAGTCATAGTTAATGTTAAAGAGTGACCGACGCTTGACAGTAAATATGGTTTAAAATTTAAATAGAAAGTAATAAGGTATATCATGATATATCGTGGTTATCAATTATCAGATATAATTTATTATACACAATTATTCATAAATTATAATACATAAATATTAAATATATATATAATTTATTTATACTAATTATAGGTAATAAAATTGAATGCGATTCCGTCATGTTAGGGGAGTGATTGAATGCCTTTACATTATTAGAAATGCCGAATGGTTTACTTAGAGGAAATTCTATAACGGAAAACGGTTTGCAGAACAAACGCCAACGTTTGAAACTTTGAAAAGGTAGAAATTCGAGAGCGCTTGGTTTAGTGCGGTATTTCGTTTAATCGCGGTCGTGGTGTATGACATAAAAAGTAAATTGTGACAAGTCGTGATAGTAACACAATGAATAGTGATAAAGATCGGCAAAAGTATAAACAAAGTCAACCTCGGTTCTGGTTACTAGAACTAAACGGGCCAAATGCTGGATCAAGGCGTTTGCAATGTTTGCAAATGTTTACAGCTTCGTTTAGCAAACGGACGTACCGAATTTCTCCGTTACCACACGTTTGCCGCTACAGAATTTCCTCTTAATACCATTGGTTATTAGATAAAATGATAAATCGCTTGAGTTTACAAAAAGCTACAGAAGGATGTTTAAATAATTAATTTGAATTTGTATTCTGCAGTAAGACGTAGGTTACATTATGTTTTTTATAACTAGATTTTTTTATAAATCGCAATATGTTTAATTAACTTGTAATTTATAGGATACTCAATAGTAAATGTTGTATATTATATTGAATTATGGAGACAAAATATTAAAGAAGTTGAAAAAGGGAACATATTTCCTAGAAAACCTTTTCAACAGACTATTAAAAATGATGCGCCTAGAGATTTAAAACTATTGCCATAAATCTGGTATTTTATTTAAAACAAAGTAAATTAATAACCCACCACATAAAATATCTCCTCCACCACACAATCTTAGTTGTGGATAAAATATTAGGTAGATTAAATAATTGCAGAGACGAGTTAATGTAAACTGAGATGAGTAAATCGATGTTCTTTTATATTATACTTATACTAAACATGTTTTACACGCTGTAATGGCAAACAACGATTTACGATATACAACTCTGCGATTTAAAAATTTAACTGGATATCTGTAAGTTTTTCAGGTTGGTGTAACATTTATTCTAGTTTATTCGTTTTGTTTTTAGGTAATTTCAAAAAATACTCGTGTTAGGTTTAAATGCATTAAAATTAAATTGTAATACACAATATTACAACAATTTTATAAAATATTATGATCTTATATAAATGTATACTATATACCTAACGTACAATATAATATTTGATAATTTATATTCATATTTATATATACTCTATTGAGCATTAGTGAAACTAATTTCAAAAAAAAATACACAATACAAAATACAAAATACATAGGTAATTATAAACACGACTTTTTGATTTAAAAAATTAAACATGTAAAAACATACCTAATTATTAATATATTATATAATATTATAGGTAATTATGCCATATATTATATGTGCTAAAAAGTCCTGATATATGCAATTTTTTTTTAAGTTAATACTTCATCATAGATGTTAGAAAACACATTTTATGCTTAACGTTATTAAAAGTAAATTAAAATATAATTTTTTTTAATTTATATTAATTATTAGACTACCTAGCTGAATAACACAACTTCGCCCTCTGCAGTTTTTTTTGTGTTATAACTTTTTTTTATAAATTACAGGTAGAGATCACCTTTAAATCACTATCATAATTAATATAATAATTATTTATTAGATCACCTTGATTTATTAAGAGTATTTGTTTCTGGATACTCATCTAAAAAGTTTTAAGGTACGGCATCTGATTTTACCTCATCTGCCCAATAATGCATTTTTCTGAATAGAATATAGGTATTCATTAATAAATGTATTAACTTTGAAAATATTCAATTAACATAATTTTAATTCTGTACACAATCACTTTCTTAAAGAAAAATCAAGTCCAAACATACAAAAACTTGTAGAAAATCGCTCTGAAATACCATAAAAATACAAATACAAATACAGTTCAATGTTTGAGAGGTTTATCATGCAACATTCACTATTCAGTATACCTATTCAATAAAAATTTGTGATTAGGTTAATTTGATAATAATATAATTACCTAGTATAAAAATCGGTTTAAGAGAATTTTTTTCAAATAGGTATAATTTTGGTATAAGATATTTTGACTAAAGATATTATTTAATTATTATATGACCTATGACCACTTTGCGCTGTTACTCATTCATACATAGACCAATTTCCCATTTTTTCCATTTGAATCAAACCTAAATTATTTCCAAGTAAAAGTATGTCTATTTATTTATTTGTTTTTTTTTATTTTCCAGGCTAAAGCTAGCAAAAGAAAACCACAGAACGTGACGGTTACGTTAAATGGACAAGGTATCAAAGTGATAGAGACAAGTGACGAAAAGAAGACAGTGCTGGAAACACCGATAGAAAGGTGATTGTAATCGTAATAATATTATAATACACCCGTAGAATGTTTAATACTTAAATTATCTAACATTATATATTGTCCCTATCGTTTGACGTGAACGTAATTTTTAATCCTATAAACGGAGTCTTATCACTATTGTCAATATAAAGACGTTTAGTCAGGTTTTAACTGTGTACGAAATTCACATTTTGAACACGTTTTAAATCTGTCGGTACGGATGAGTCCACAATAACGGGCGGTTATTACTTATTATTAGTTATTACTTATTGCTAAAGCTTCATAATAATAGCAGTAGCCAGTAGGTATATGAGCACAGATTAATTTAAAAAAATGTATATTTACAAGTCGCGATGTTTCTTTTATTATTTTTTCATCTTAACGAAATAGCTGTGTGTAATCAATAAATAAAATTGGGCCAAGCCATACGCATATTATCAATGCCTATCAAATACGACGAAAATTATCTTTATTATAATATTTTGTACATGAGTTATAATTTGTTTATTCCCTAAAAAGAGTCATACTCGTTTTATACTTGAAACTCTTCACCTCTTATTTACTTTTATACTTTATGCTTGATAATTATAATAATATTAATTAAACTGCACTCGTCTGTAGTACCTACATAGTAACATCGTTTGCTGATTATTTGCTTTTCCTCAAACCGCAGCAGACCGATAAACCTGCCGAAGTATAATATTTTTACGGTTGAAAAATCTAATTTCATTAACCACGGACGATGAAAAAATAAAAACTGATAGGTATCTTGTATATAGTTATTATAGTTGAATAATATATAGTATGTATATACGTTTATCAGGTACATTGATAAATAAATTATTCACGACCCACCCTCTCTCCAGCAGTGCCTAAACGCATTTTCTGGTCTCAAACACAATGCTGAATTTTGTTTTGTTTTATTTTTTTTTCGTCGGCCACAGGGTGTCTCATTGTTTTACCGACTCGGCTCACAGCAATGTGTTTGCCTTCGTCACAGCTAGCGGCCTAACCATGTCGGAGTGTCACGCTTTCATGTGCGCCAAACGGAAAATGGTAAAGTCAAGTTTATCCGGTCGCCGGTACATCGCAGTCCGTATGCGACCTCGTCACCGTTTTTGTTTTGATACCTGTTATCTGTTATCTACCGTGTATATAGGCACAAAACATGTCCGTCACTATCGGCCAATCGATCAGCTCTGTGCCGGACGTCTGGAAGGAGATTAACAAACCGAAACCAGACGCCGACTTGAAAACACCAGACGTAATTCCTGCAGACACCGTCCCAGGTAAATAATACATACGTGTTACTTACCTATATTTTGTTTTATCTTTTGCACAAACGATAGTCGAGGAAATCTAAACTATTATATTTTAACATAAAATCTAAATCGATAAGAATAATTGGTTGGAAAAAATCAGTTAAAATAATGAGTACCTACTCACTCTTAGAAAAACATATCCATATTATAAAATGTTTTGATTGGAGATCAGTATATTATACTTAAAGGACACTCGCATATTTATTATGTTGTGTCTGTTTTACACAAGCGCACAAAAATAACTACCTATTTAAGTACTTTTAACTCATTATGAAAAAAAGCTGCACGGGCCTTATTTATATTCTCTTCTACAAATTCGATAAAGATATGTAAATTTGATCTAGTTTTAACTATAAATAAACATTACGTACTTACCTATATATTTATACGTGTAAGACAGAGACAAGACACGCGAGTGAAGTGTTATCTTAAAATAAGTAGTTTATTAATCATCTATACTAAAATTAGTCTTGAATTTACTTATTATAAATGTGTATGTAATAATTATTGTTTTTGAGTTCGGAAAAAATAATTTACGTTCATTTTAAATTTGAATGTATACAATTACCTATGTTTATATATTTTTAAATAGTATTTAAATAAGAGTGAAGATAATATTATCAAATATTTTTCACATTTTATCGAAGAGTGAAAGCTTATTTCCGATCTTCAATCATCAAATTTGATTTCATTTTGCCTCTGGTAATTCAGCAGGCACTATTTGGACGACGTAGTTCTTTGGAAAATTAATATGTTTATGCATGTGATGTATTTATAGACTTGATTATATAGAATAAATTAAAATTACCTTCTTGGTCATGCATTTTCAAAGAGAAAATTAAAAACAATATAGTTACGTGACTATTAGATTAAGGTTAATTTTATATAATGATTTTGTTATTATTAAATTTAAAAAAATATATTCGATTTTTTTGCGTAATAAAATCTTGGACATGTAAATAAAGATACAATAATTTTACAATGATTAAGGTTTGCGGAACCTCGACAATGTAACCGACGTATCTCCACATAAATACTGCATAATACTATTATATAGTATGATAAAATGTCTATATTTGTTAACCATATTCTGATTAAAAAAAAATAATAAAGATTTTTGTGAAACTAAATTATTTTGTTTATTGTAATTTGAACAAAAGAAAAAAATAAATCATTATACTGGTATTATATTATATTTATATATGGTAGATTCTTGATAGGTACATATATATTTTATATAGACACTTTAAAGCAGTTTATTTCTATGCTCGACTTGTAGTACTTGCACAACGTTATTTATAAACTTAGAAAGTTATTTGTGTTGAAGTAATTCTATATATACCAAATACCCATAATATATATATTAGTAAAATAAAATTATGAACACTCGATGGCACTTTTTCTTACACTATAATTTAAATATATTAAGTGGTTTGTTTAATCATAATGCGAATAACTTGATTTAATTTCTTGATAATTTGGTACTTAGGTAGCTAGGTATTTTCAAACACATTAATCAAAAACAGTTTTTCAAAGCACTTTTAAATTATTTGTACATAATACCTATTTGAATACCTTACAGTGTAAATTGAGAAAATTAATAAGGTTGCACTTACTACTTACACAATACAAATTGAAAACAACAATCCATACTCACCTCTAATATTATTTAGTATTATTATAAAGGTATTAAGTATTGGTACAGATAAATAATATTATTCATTGTCGGTGGTACAGGAACTGCGTATAGCGACGATACCATGTAACAATATCATTTTATTTTGACCTTTTAGCAGATAATAGACAAAAGCTATTATATTATAGTTCTATACAGCATATATATATACTTTTATCGCACATATCCACCCGTTCAATCCAAATAGGTATACAGCTTTGGTTTCGTACATAATAGGTATGAAGTAATGAACGTTATTTGATCAAAATAGCCTTTAGGCATCTGGATGTGAGATATTTGAGATCCATAACTAAATTATATTATTACCCAAATGTTAGCTTACTTATTACTCGCAATGTTACCATAACTGTTAGTGTTCGGTTCTTAGTTTTTTAATTCGTACGTTAAAGACTATACCTATCGGCTATTTCACTATTATTGTTGTTATTGTTGTAGTGGTTGAAGTTAACTGGGCCAGTAAAATACAACATTTCTGGCTTCACAATCTAAAAAAAATTCAGTATTCATATCATACAAATGTAAATATGTTCATTAAAAACAAATTAAAGTGTTTTATGACTCATTTTAGAAAAGTGTATTATTGTGGACTAACCCCATGGAAATTGTTTTTCAAAAAAAAAATTAAAAGACAAACATCCGTGTTTAAAAATACTATAACAATATAATATTATGTAATTAGGTGCAACATCCATTTTACTTAACACCATCGCCAGATGGTTATTAAAAATTTTATATTGCTCTATTAAACTGTTATTAGGTATTAACCGGGTATGAAGTGAATTTCATGCTACAAACATAATAATATGTTAACGTGTTGTATTTTATCTTTTTCAAAATAGTTAATATTACCTCTAAATTATGCAGCTTTAATTTGATTGATTATTTGTAATGGCCAATACCCATAAGCTTATGAAATGTCCACGGTGGCTGGCGTCTGGCTTAAATATACTTACATAAGGTACTATACATATTATTATGTAATGATTTTATTGTATTTAGACTTTAGAGTACAATCTATCATTATATAGATAGAAATAACGGATAATTTATGAAATCAGAGTTTAGATAATTTTCACTCAATAGGAACTAAACCGTCCATTTACTACACTAAGCCTGGTTTACACAAAGACTACAAAATTAAAATTAAAAGAGTTTATGTTTTCAAAGACAATTTAGATGATATAGTCCCGTCTGTGAGGGGTACTATGTGACTTGAGATTTGTTGTGTTTTAATTTTGTTTACTATTTTACTGTGTGACGAACCGACATAAAGTAGGTAGGTATGTAGTTTTAGTGTTTGAGAAGTTGTACATGTGGTAATCGTTAATTTTAATCTTGAACAATAAACTATAGACAAAACATTGAAATTGTCAAAGTATAAAGTTATGTTTGACAATTATTAGGAAGTCGATAACTACATAATATTATAATGTATGTACTAAATTATACTATATTATCATCTCAATTCGTATTTTCTAAAAAAAAAAGTAGTTACATTGACGAATATTTAGAATGTTCTTACACCCAGTATTGTGTACGAATCCCATTTTTCCCTATTCAAATACGAGAGAAAAAATAAATAAGCATGTAAGCAATAAAAGTGTAGATGTAGCCCATCATTTATGAATTTATGATATATTATGATAATATGTAATACAAGTCACAATTTCGGGATATGTTGCGGTAGTTTTATATAAGTAACAGATGAAAAGCGAAAGCATACATAATATAACGTACAAAAGCGTTGTCTTGCAGCCATTGTGTATGAACTACAAAATTTCACTTTTCACACACGTCCGATGCTCATTGAATAATAATATAAATAATAATAAAATAGTAATAATAATAACACCTAATAATAACTAATAAGAGATAATTCTAAAGGCAAATAGGTACAGCCGTACAGCACAAGTTTTATAGTAAATTTAAGTAGGTATAACGATGATAATTTTTGCAGATGATGTGGCTCAAGAGGTTAGAGAAGCGAAGTTAATTGACTTGTCAGGAGAACCTCTGCCCAGACAGCAATACGATACATCCAGATGGGTAAGCGTGTCGTTCATTATTATTTATTACATTACTCTATTGACTATTATTATACATCCACGAAATATTTTTGAAATTTGTTATACCTATCTGTTATTTCTGTAGAAAAGATGATAATTTACTTTATTATATTATGTTTTATCCCAATAAAATTATTGATTATTCTTATTATTTCTATGCAACAGTACAACTATTATAATATTTTAAATGAAATGAAATGTTGTTTGAATAAAAACACATAATAGAAATTTTAATATATTTACCTATACTAATTTGTATCCATATCTGTATTTATTTTTTGCAAATAATATAATGCATTTATTATAAAATAAATAAATATATTATATTCAATACCAATTATAACTAGATCTACAACTTATTTTTTACAGGTGTTGTTCGAAGATGATTCATCTTCTAAGTTAGATGTGGAATTATTACACCAAAGGTAAACATATTTGAAAAATAATATTAATCATGTTTTTTTTAACGTATACCTTTAGATAAAGCCATAAAAGTAGACATTATCAACTGTGCGTTCATTTAAATAAAAATAATAATATTTAAACAGTTATTTTTTTTATAAATTATAAATCAAAAACTTATCGTTTGTTATTTGAAAAATGATCTATCCATTTTAATAAATTATTCAAGTAATAGTGAACTTGCCTACATCACATTTGAAATATATTATATATAGTTTGTAAAAACCACTTTCACTTTTATAATTTTGTATATTTAATTCAAATTATAAACTTTTTTAAATTGCATTAAAAAAATGGTACCTATTTAGTCTAGTTAGTTTTGAATGTTTCTTAATGAAAGAACAAAAAAAGCTATAAACTAAAGAGAATTTGATAATATAATTAATAAAAAAAAAAGGTGGGGGAAGTGGGTGTCGCTCTGCTGTACAGTAGGTTACAAGTGGGTCACTGTAATGGATGGTGTTACATTTGAATTCAATGATATAATATAATATTAATATCATTATATAACAAAAACGATTTTGAGCAAAGACTGTCAGACAGCCTATGATATTACTAAGTACATTTGATGATATTATTGGGAATAAAATAATTTATATATAACCTATTTACGTGGAACCTAGTTTTAAATTTTCGATCTTTAGCTATAAAAGTTAAACATTTTATACATTTTTAACTACAAAATATTTTTTAAATTTTGTCAAAAATCGAACTTTAAATTAAATGCTTATAAAAAAATTGTGAGAATGGGTTTTTAATATTTTTCAAATTTCATTGTAATAATATATTAAAAGCCTTGTATACATTTTCAGGCTTTTTTACCCAACAAATAAAATTTTATAGACATTCATAGAAAAGAAAAAACTAATAAAAATAAAAATTGGAAATTGTAAATGTCCGTATAAAGTTCAAAATAAATCAAAATATTTTGAAAATTTTATCGTGTATATAAAATGCTTGTATAAACAACCAGTGGAAATTTCATGTATCTATGGTAATTTGTTTAAGTAAAACTAAAAACCAAAATCAATGTTGTCGAAACCTGACTTTGAGTAAAAATGTCCGTTCTTCCTAATTTTATTTTGTTTTTCCTTGCGTTTTTGAAAAATATTAGGAATTTCTTAATTTAACCCCCTCCCCACTCCTTCCAAGTACCAACTAGATTCACTTCCTATCAGAAAGATACTGTTGAAGAAAATCCAAGCATTTTTACTGTCCTAAATGTAATGACAGACAATAAAATAAATAATAAAATTCAAATATAAATAAGTAAATACCATTTCAGTATAAATTGTACTATATAGATTATAGTTATTAGTTATTACTAATTGCTAAAGCCAAATTCGGTAATCATAGTACTTAAATCACTGAATTTTATTGAAAAAAATAATATTATAACTTAAAAAACGGTAAAAACAGTAAAAAATAAAACCATATTATAATTTAAACGGTATCCCTCTGAGGTTCATGTTGTTATTTATGACATTATCATACGTCTTCGTAAATTATTATTCTACATCATAGTATCTAAGTAATTACAATTTGGGGTGGCCCCGTTGACTACGGTTTCAGTTCCAACGCGTACCGTCGCCGGGTAGAATCTCGACCATGGGCTGCTCCTTTCTCTGGGTAGGCAACTGTCTAGACTCTAGGGAGTGTGGCCGCCATCCCTAGACCGGGCATGGCAGAAACATACGGTGCCCAATGAAAATTCTGACAAACCTAAAAAAATACACATGTTCCAACCAACCGTCAACCACCCCCCCTACAAATCAACAAAAAACAGCTAATTAAGCTCAATAAAAAAAAAAAAGATTACAATTTATATAGTCACAAAATTAAAAAACGCAAATATCTATAAATACGTCCTATTTTTTCTATCAAAAAACATATATGTATAAGAAATATTTGAGAATAATGTGAATTACATTTGTATGAAATATAATTTATAAATTAGTACATTATTTATAGAACTTGCATGTTAGTCACAGTTAGGTAGGTACTATTTTTTGCTTATTGTAGAAACTAAATAATAAATATTATATTAAAATATTTCTGATTACTTGTATATCTTGTATAATATTATTTATATACTCACATGCTATATTTCATCGTTTGTATAAAATTATGATTATTTTTACTTTTTTTACAGACCTGAAGGATTTGCAAATTTCTCGAATCATTTCAAACAAGATCGCCAGATGTGTTGCTAAAAATCTCCTATCTTGTGATTCTATAAATTTATACATATATTGATATATATCTATTATATTATTACTAATAAAAATATACATACATCTATACTCGTGGTTGTCCTGTAGCTTCAATCAACTTTCAATTTTACTTTATAAATTTTATTATACTATGATTATTGTTATTTATAGTTTACATGTAATTTAATTAAATATATATTCATATTCAGTCAGTGGCCCTGAGTATATAGTTCTTTTTGTTATTTTATGACTATTTTATTTTGTTTTTGGTACAAAAAATGTGTGGTAATCATAATTATTACTAGGGACAGGATTTATATAAAAATGCATATATGTATTGAAATAAGCTTTTTGAAATCTGATGAGAATTGTCTCCGATTTAGATTATTCTTATTAAAATAAAGCTAATTGTATTTTGTATATTTTGAATATCCCAACTTTTTACCTATTAAATGCATATTTGTAATTTTATAGCACATATATTTATTTTTCGTCGTATTTTCACGTTCACAGCCGCATAATATCAATAAAATCATGACCGGTACCTTAGACATTGCCAAAAATATGATTAAATGCTCATATGTGACATATATTTATATATATATATATATATTATATTATATAGATAAATTCGTTTGGATTAAACAACTTTTGATCATCCAGTGCAATAAGGTAAAATATGAATTCAATCTTAGTTTTCACTTTTTATTAATATGGGCTAATATTTTATGGATTAAAGATAAAAAATGTTAAAAGGCAAAGAACTTAGTGAAGACGACGAAATACTTTATATACTTTTAAAACCATTCTATAACTTTGTTAATTAATACTTATTTTTTTACATAGCTTTAAATTAAATATTTTCAATTAAATTTTTAGTGCATATAAAAATAAATGCATATTACAGCATATTTAGAAACATATTTTGAGGATTTTTGTGCATATAAATCCGGTCCCTAATGATAACCTAACTTAATTAATTAATTTTGAAGTTATTTTGTTAATTCTTAAATCGTATTTAAAATTTTGATTTTAATTTTAAAATATTTTGCTGCATATATTTTATTGCATAACAAAATATTATATTAATTAGATACATAAAACATTTGAATAAAAATTGTTTATTAATGATTAATGATTATTTATTCATAAATTATAATTTGGATTACATTTTTATCATTCCAAATCTAAAGCTGTTGTTAATTATTATATTCTCAGTTACCTAACATTGTATTCAGTTGTTTTATATATATAAATACCTAATATAAACAAACATAAAAAGTGTATAGTGTATTTTAGTACATATTAATATTATACTATTTAGAATACACCACCATTAAATCTATTCTGTGATTCCCAGTGGCGTACGCCGAGGTAGGGTTCTAGGGTTTTGACCCCGCCTGAAATTTCTTCCTTTAACAAAAAAATAATATTTGCCACCATTTAAATATACAGAGTTGATCAATTGTTGGTCATTTTTAATAGATATAATATACGTCGATAATCATAGTTTCAGTTTCTTGGATAATTTAGAACATTGGTAAACGTCTGTCATAATCGTCGTATGGTGTATCATAATGTATCATCGTCCATCGATTATTACCACGTTTATTACGAACCGAAGAGGCTCTATAGATGACCATATAGGTGTCCGGGTTGAACACTCGAGTGTTCTTAATGTAGACTAAATTTGAGACTAACTATAATTTGTTATAAACGATTATATAAAAACTGTTTAGAAAAAAATAATGCAAATTATTTACTCAGATAAAACCCTAACCGAGCTAAAATCCTGCGTACTCTTCTGGTGATACTAGTATACAACCACAACATAGATATGTACATAAAAACCCTATCCACAACGCCGTGTTATCATATTAATTGACTATTGTATAGTTGAAATGCATTAATATTATGATGTTTTAATTCTTACTAGCTGTAAAAAATTATGGTTTTGATCGCAAGTTTAATTATAGATGTTAAACTTTTTAAACATTTTTTTTTTAAGATTTAAAAGTAATATTCAATTTAAATATTATTCTAACTATGCCTAGTAATAATATAACCATTTCTATAACCACTTCTATAAATTAATAATTTTGGTCATTAAAGTAAAACATGTATTTTTTCTGTATATTTATATTAGTTTTGTAAAAAAATAAATATAACTAAAAATTATTAATATTTTTTAAACATAGTATTATATTATATTAAAACACCGTAGAAATGTAGAATAGAATACAGCTCCGCTCAGAATCTAAAAATGTGTATATAATTATATTTATATTTTCTTATTATACATGGTATATAATGAGAATATTATGGGATATATTACATTAACTTTCTTTTGAAAAAAAAACAAATAGAAATCTTGACCTAAAGTTATAGCCGAGTAGTGATGGAACACAAATAGTAAATACATATTTTATACTGTGATGACGTAAACTTACGGAAGTAAAACCTAATGATAAAACAACTTATTGTACGAAAAGAATAAATTTTTTTTTTTGAACATCGTTAAAAGTGAACTATTTAAAAAAAGTGATATCGATAATAAAAGTACACATAACATAATGTCATTGGTTGTAGTCTGGTACACTCAATGTGGTAAAAATGTGTATCTAATACAAAATATGCAAAATGTACAATTACGAGATATGACAAATTTCACAAATTTAATAGAATCAGCTATTATTATATTTTATTCAAACATCAGCTGTTAGTGTTTGTACAGTGGAACAGTATTTTTTTCGCTTTAAAACATTAATTCGTTATAATATGTACTTATTATACATTTATAATGTACCGATATATGCTGATAAATAATATTTAAATAATATAATATAATAATATATTTTAGCCAATTATACATACAGTGGAGAATTGTTTTATAACCAGTATAAAAAAAATCAAAGATAAAAAAATATTTAAAATTTTATTTTTTTTTGCTTTCCCCCCTCCCAGCCATTCATCATTACAATTCCGAAATCCAGGGTACATCACTGCAGTTATACCTTTATAGTTTATACTATATTATATTATGTCATATTTACATTATAGTATCATATATTCTGTCGTCGCCAGTCGTGGCTCGAGAACCTAGGGAGAGGTAATAAACTAATAATTAATAAGTAATAACAATTAGGACGTATGATTTTTGTTCATCTCTTAGTCCGGCGTTGTTAATTCGTACGGCATACAGTTAATAATTATACAAGTATACAACGATTTAAACATTTAATTTAAGTTCATATGCAATCAACAATTCGTTTTTTGGTTTAGTACCAGTGGTACCACGTCAGGGCATAGGCATTAAGTGATGAATTTATCCAGGGGGGGTATAGCCTTCTTAGACCCCTCCACCATTATACGCCTATGCATCAGGGAACCGATAACGCTGAATGTTTAATTTAATATACTAGGTATACTCAAATAAATTGTATACAAAAACAAAAAAATGTGTATAGTGTATACTGTATAATATGGTACGGTTAACCTACTTTAAAATGTAAATAGGTACCCAAACAATTAAAAAAAAAATACGGTATGTGTCCATCTTGGATAGAAAGCGATGAATAGAGAAAGAGGGATATAAAGTGAAGGACCATTAGATTCTGACAAAATAAGAGAATGTGATAAGGAGAGAGAGAGAGAGAGAGAGAGAGAGAGAAAGAGAGAGGGAGAGAGAGAGTGATATGGTTTTTTTTTAAGTGGCTTGTTGATTAGTACCACATCATTATTGTCCTTCACCTGGTATTATCAGATAGGTCCACCAGCAAGTACGTGAATACCTGAAATTTCTTCAGTGCAATTAACTGGTACTTAAGACTGTTAAGTCCGTCCGTTTTTTGACGTTTCCAGCCGGAACTAAGCAGCTCTATCCTGTGAGAAAATCACAAAAAAAAAACGCAATCTGTTGCTGTAGTATTGCTTTAACATCTTATTAAAACGATATTTTAAACAAAATAAATTGCTTAAGTTTTAAATAATATAATATTTAAAATAACATATAATTTTAATTTAATATGTAATATACTTATATGCCAGTATGCCATGTATAGGTATGTATCAATGTTTATTTATTAGTTATTTTAAATCTCAAAAGTATTTTAAATGTATTTTAAATATTTTCTGAATGGATGTTTTATGTGGACATTAATACATTATATTATATTAACTATAAGTAAAAACATTTTTAATTTGGTAATTTATTCAATAACATTTAAATAGAAGATGGTAAAAGATTTAACTATTTAATACTTTTTATGAAGGATATCTATTATTATTTATTATTAAGAGGACGTGATACCCAAAGTGAAACGTATAAAACGGCTAAGAGAATGCGCTGTTAAGTGTTTTCGCGATCCGCATGCACGCGGCGTTTAAGCCACGCCCATTCCTCGTAGTCGGCGGCCGGTCGACGAGTTTCGTTCTGGAGCGCCGTTTATTATTGTATGAACGTTCGTACCTTTCGTGTCATTATAAAATTCATTCGCGTCATTACTGCCGTAATATTTTAAATCTCCACACGTACCTATAAACTAACGATTATAATTTAAGTCACTGTTTATCTAAATATATGTACCATTGTACCAATATAAAGATCGTATAAACTTTATTATAACATAGCTTGATTTGTATTTATTGCATTATTACTTATTGAAATATACCTAATACCTACCTATAGGCTATAGTAAAATATAGTTTTATAATATCTAAATAAAATAAATAAATACAGCGTAATTTATTAGAAATAATTTAATTTATTTTTATTATTAACGAAATAGATAAAATAATATAGATTTGAATTTTAGAATTTAGTATTGATTAATTTTTTATTGATTTCTTTTTTTTGAATTCTTCAATATTTTGTATGATATGTGGAGGTTCAATTATATCATTTTTCAACATACGTTTAATGAACTGAGGGTCAATTAGCTCTCTTAACAAGCACTCTTCGTAAAATCTAAATTAAAATAATATAAGTAAATTTTAAAATT